GTCTCGACCTTGAGTGGAGGCTTTGACTGTCGTGTCTTCCGTCCGCGTGGTGGTCACGCCAGACAGGGCTTGTGCCCGCGGCGTCCGAGGAAAGCATGAGTAAGAATAAGGGGTCGCTACACCATCCTAGGTAATTTGGAGAATGAGTTATATTATTAAAGCCACTTAGAGACTAGAGTGTTCGTCAAAGTCGACAATGCGGAAGTTTGACAAATCAAAAGTCGGTAGAAACAGACAAGGTTGGACAAGATTCTAGTGTGTGAAAGAGCTTTGAATTATTTGTTGCTAACGGGTTGGAGCCGTGTGCACTATGCGTCCTCTGTCATCTGCAGACAATTAGTAAAAATTACGCACGTTGATTGGTTTCAAGTTTTCGCAAAGCTAGTGTCAGGGATCGTCCTACTAAATGGTGATGCGGATCGGATGCATGAGTCAGCGTTCGCGCTGGCGACCACCAACGTGATAGTCGGAGGTTGCCACGCCTGAGTACGTTAGGTTTGGCCGGTGAAGGCAACGTGAGTCAGTGGTAGTGGCGCTGATCACAAACTGCCGCAAGCCTCTTGTTATATCATTCATAAGGAAGTTGGGTATCACTTTCTTTAGAAGTCCCATTTGCCTTTGATTTATAATAATAAACTACTTTTACATTGTCAGCAACCCGACTGCCCGTTTTCCGTTAAGTTGCGCCAATAGAAGGTCGAATTTCCATAAGTAGGCATCAGTTACCTGAGCAACAGGACTTTATGTTGATGGAGTTGATTCTATTTAGCTCATTAAAACACTTATAAGTGGGTTTAATTTGATATTCCTTGATCACTTCAAACACACTCATTGACCAAGAAGTAAATGTTTAACCACCTATTCCGTAAGACAGTTTGGCGGGGGGAATTTATATTCAGGCGGCCTTACAAGACAGTTTTGCTGGAATTTGAAGCAGCCTAGTTCCACCGATGACAGTACGAAGCAAATTGAAATGTTTTAGGAGCCTTAAAGTGGTTCCGCCACTTTCTAAATGTCGCTTTTTCGTTTTGCTTTGCAGAAGGCCCTCCCTCCCACATTGCTGAGCAAAATGAATGTGACGGACGTCTGTGAGTTACTGGCCGCTATTGCTGATCTTCCAACCTCTAATTGCACCATGTACCAATCACGAATGCGGCAACAGAACATCACCGGTCTGGTGCTATCGGTCTGTGACCTTGAGAAACTGCGTACAGAGATGCAAATGAACTTTGGAGATTGGCAGCTCTTCCGCACCCTAGTTCTCTACCTTCGCCAATTAGAAGGTGCCAACTTGCTTAGCTCTGCTGCCAACGGAAGCGGTAGGCCTACTCGTCACAGCGAGACCAGAAGCCCCGGTGGAAACACTTCTAGCCAGCTGGAAACCTCCCTCCAGCTCCCTGAAATGACTGTGGTCTACCCGTACGCCCACATGACCGGGTCAAATTGCCAACAGCCCCTACCGAGGCAGTATGCTGGACAAAGCCCGCCCCAGAAGAACGTCTTTGATGTGCCTGTCTTTGTGCAACACTGTACTGCCGCCTCCATAGCACCGAATGCTCGACCACGGAGCCGACTGAATGCCGTGTCTGCCCCGTGCACTGCCGAACGCACCATCAGTGACTTCT